GCACAGAACAAACTAAAGGAAGGAACTTCGACAATAGTTTGATATCTGTGGCCTTGGTAGCAATGGCTGATGCTGTTCTTCGTAAGACATGGTTGGAAGCCACAGCAAAGCATGCTTCATCTACTTCGCACCCGACAAATCTGCGATGATTGGGGAGAGTCATGCAAGCATGGGCAGTTGAGAAGGTACCGGCGAATAAACCCACCACGATATCACCTGGCTGAGAGAACCTGCAGATGAGTTCCTTGAGGAGGGCAACTGGTTTCTGCTCTGCGCGGAGAGCAAAGGTCTTTGATGGGTCGTTGCTGTTGCATCCTCGGAGCTGTTCACCGGGAAGAAGCCACATGACATTGTTAATGATGTTCTTGAAGGCCGGAAATGTTGAAGGGACGTAGTTAAAGTTCTTGTAGTTAACCATCGCTTCTTCCTCTTTGTATGTAAGACCGTTTTTCTTGATATGGACTGCCAATTCGGCCCCATTTACGAGTGAACACTTCTTTCCCGGGGGTACTGTGATGACTGAGGGATGTCTCTTGACTATCAAGGGCATCGAATCCACAGTGAATGTGGGCCTCTTTTGGCCCCTGCCGAGGTCTGTAGTCGAGGCTTTGAACTTTCTACGCCATGTCATGAATTGCTGTATCGAGCAGAAAATGATGCCGTGTCCACCTTTTCTAAGGACCATAGCTGCAGTTTTCACGACCTCGTCCATGTCTTCATTTGTGAGGCAATCATGGGCCGAGTTTTTCTTGTCCGACTGTCTTCTCGTGTTATAGGGAGGGTCACATAGAAGCAATTGAGCTCCTGAAGAACTTAAAGGGTCCGTAGGTGCGATAAAATCTTCCAGCTCGATGATTTCCTCGAAGCTTGACCGGTACAGCCTCAGATATGGTTTCAGTGCATCTTCCAACTCTTCCATCTTTTTCTTTATCGCTTGGTTTGAAATCGCGCGAGTTCCATTGGCTGGGATCTTGGTAGAGAATGGTTCGAGTGGAGTCTCAGCAGCCGACCGCTCAGGTCTTACTGGAATAATGTTGCCAACAATTTCCTTGACTCGAGGGGCTGTACGTACGTAGTTTTGTACAGCTGACCGCAATCTCATCTCCGTCTCTAACTCCTTTCGAACTGTGTTGGTAAGTCGAAGCGGTATTTTAGAAAAGCGTTGAGGAACTCCTTCCTTGTGCACTTTGAACCTTACGAAACCGGGCTATTTGATGTGAGATGGCAGTGCGTAGAGCTCGTGCGCATGTGTCATTGAATGAATGTCTTGGAAGAACTCTGTGGCAAGAGTGCGTAGGCACTCATCCAGGCTGTTGGTTCTATCACAGACGTGTGCGAACGTTTCTTCTTTCTTATGTGTCAGAGAAGCATGGGGCTCAAATCGCTTCGCTTGCGAGCTTCTGAGAAAGCCTTCTGTACGTGACTGAATGACCCGAAACTGAACGAAATCCGAGGTCAACTGAAGATATAGGAGGAACATGCTTTCGACACCGTCAAAACCGAAGCTGGCAGCATACGTATCCCACGCTCTGACCACTTGCTGAATTGCAGCTCCTATTCTAACTGCTTTTTCGGTAGTGAGGGCGCTCAAGGTTAAGCTGGGAGGGTACGAGGTCGGTTGTGCTATTGATCTTGTTATTTTCCTTTTCTTTGCAGGCCTCTCCTCGTTGATGCTCTTCGTAATGTCAATAATCACGGATACGAAAATGAGCTGCTCGAATCGGGTGACAGGTTCCGTTTTGTAGGCGTAGGTTTTATCTTTTTTAGGCTTCGTCCATGAAAGGCCACTATCTGTGAAGAAAGAGCAAACCAAGTGCCTGTGATTTAAAGGGAATCCTTCGCGTGATGTGTGCTCGAATACGTCTCGAAGTCGCCTATCGGTTTCATTGTGCATCATATCAACGGCGGCAGCAGTGCGAAAGTACAATCCATTGCTACTAGTTTGGAGCTTGGCAATGAGCTGAGTCTTTTCGTAGTTTGTGTAGTCGTTGCCTTCGGTAACAAAAAGGAGTATGTCCTTGACGGCTGGTGGCATCTCCATTTCTGCACGGTTAGCGAAAACCTTCTGGACCCATTCGCAGAACTTTGCAAAAGGAAGGTCTCTGGCTTTCGCGGTGGGTTCCAAAGCATCCCAAGCATCCCGAACGGCTATTGAAAGCTTTGCAAAAGTAGTGAGCTTTGCCATGGTAATGCTATGAGATGAAGGATGGGAGGATATATTAGGTAGAAGGCAGGGGTGGTGATTGACTCGTGCGAGGGCGGCGTGGATTCTGTTGTCGGTAGTCTTTTTAAATTGGGGCAACAAAAGAAGTAGGAAGGCGCCGGATAGCAATCGGGTAAGTGCGACGAATGGGGAACGACGTGTGCCGACGCTGGATGGGAGACTCTTTAAAGAGTGTAGTTGTTGTTGGAAGAATGAAGGGGAATGGTCGAAAGATCTGAAGAGGGACACGGCAGTGGAAATGTGACGATAAGTCAGCCGGATGAGGTGAATGGGTCGACCGAGACTTTCAAAGACGGATTAGCGCAGTGGTCAGAGAAGGGGATCCCAAGCGTGTTTGTTGGGGTGGGGGAGGCACAGCGACGGATAACGCTAATCCTCTGATGAATCGAGGGATCGCGAGGTGGAGAATGGTCATAAAATGGGGTTTGGGCGTGCTTAGTCGGCGTGGGAGGGCGAGGGAGGGCGAGGGAAAGACGTGTGGAGGCCGATGGGAAGTTGGGGGAAGTTGGGTTGAGATGACGTAGTACAGCGTAGTACGACATTGGTTTCAGGTGTAGTATGATTTGGCAATCATACTGGCAAAGAGTGGGAAATTTTATTATTAAAACATGCTTGGCCGAGTATGATTGCCGAATCATACTGACCGGAACCCCGAAAAAATTACTGAAAAGTAGGTCTTTCCCAGTATGATTGGGCAATCATACTCGAAGCGCCCGCCAGGTCGACCGACGTAAATTTTGGGGGATGAGCGGGGAATGCCCTGGCTTCCATGCGGGCTTGCGCACGTGGAGGGCGCTGATTGGCGGGATGGAGGGGCTCAATGTAACGGGCCTTGCTGGTGGTGGCGTCCACTCTCCTATGCCATGCCATCAAGCTTTGCTGGGCAGAAACACACACGTCCGCACACACCCATGTCCTACTGAACAAAAGCGCGTTAAAGGGCCGATAGAGGTTGCGTTATTCCATCGATATCTCCTTCATTGACAGTTCCGATGCCATAGAAGCTTTTCGGGGTGGGGACGTCAGCCAACGATCCCATGACTCATCGCACATTGCAACCACCAACCCTCTCAAGGGTTTCGGAAGAATGCCGCGGTGTTGATCCGGGCATCATTAATCTGCAGCCTGTACACAGCCCTGGTACCGCTATGCTGCCGCATCGCGAGAGTAGAGATAAACAGGATCATTGCAGTGGATACATGTAAGAGCCTTCTGTGGCGTGGTACTGGACAGCTTTGTATCGTAAGCTTTGATACACACGTGGCTGTTGGGAAGAAGGGAGCCTATAACGGACGTGGCACGGGCGAGGATCGAGGCGTGGCAATGGAGACTGAATTTCAGAAGTGGTCCCCGGTGTGCTTTCCCAGCATGGAAACCACGGATTGCATCCTCGGATTGCAACCGGGGATTCCACTGCTGAGAGCGTAGCGTGGTGTGGCGCACAATCGATGATACTTCGAGAATCATCGGGGGTTGTCCTTTCAATGCTGGAATAATCCCAGCGCAGTCCATCGGGAGGCGGCGGTGGGGGGGGGGGAGGAGGAAAGGGGCGATGCAACGTCGTGGCTCGTGTCCAACGTGCGATTTTCTGTGTCGTATGTCTTGCTGGAAGAGAAGCAGATGTCATAAAGACATTAACGGGGACGGAATGCAGCTAGGTCGAAAGCAATACCAAAGTGGAATGAAAGATACAGATGGTCAAGGCGCGGCTGAGTGAGGATTGGTGCGACACAGCCAAGAATACTTACAAGAAAGAATAGGGGACGAGGATGTGTTTTTCTTCGGCATTCATTTTTGTAGCAGCCGCCCCGCGGGGATTTATCTCTTGAGGCAAGACACGTGAGGGGGTGGAATACGCACAAGGAGCGGGGGTGTCTTGGGTATGTGGCCGCGTCTCTGGCAGCAGCTTGTTCGACAGAGCGCATTCTCTGAGTGCAATAGGATTACATCTGCGGACACATCGTCTCTTGCGTTGATAAGCACGAGACGCTCATATGCCAAAAGGCACCCCTCCTCACTCCCAACTGGACGCAACGGTTGGAAATGTGGGAAAGGCTGAGAGCACGTTACGTTCATTGCGAATAAGCCCAAGTTGCGCCAAAAGTACTGCACTTAGGAGGATTAGTTTCTGAAAGTAGGAGACTTGTCCCAACGTCCTAGATCGCTCTGAGCGGCTCTGTGGCTGCCACCATCTTGTCCCCCCGTCACTGCTTCCCCTGTCCACGAGGGTTCCAACACCCGCCGCACATCCCTGAACTCCGCCTCCGCCATGGTCGCTTACAAACTCGCATTCCCCACGCTTGCGGGCAAGATGCTTTTTGTCCTCTAGTTTCTGCTTGAAAAGCTTCCCGAAGTTCATCGGTGATGTACGGAGCGTACGTGACCCTACTTGCTCGAATCCGGGCGCACTGTTTTCGATTCATGGGCTCGGAAGAGACCAGTCCCATGGAGCTCCCTCAAGCCCACGCCCTTACGTTCCGTCTAGCGCCCCACCTTGGTTCAGGCCCGCTTTTGTCCGCACCCCTCTCTCTGCTCTTCTTATCCGCAAAGCCTGACTGCATCGCGCAATGCACTCTCCCCAAGTGCTATGCAGGATAGCACGACTTAGAGGCCCCCAGAAGCGAGCAACGGCGTCCTCCCGTGGCCCTCCAGCCGCTTCCTCGTGGCGGGAGCTGTTCGCGGAGGTAGCAGTTGGCCACGTCGGCGAGGCGGAGCTAAAAGAGCGGGTACAGAAGCTGCTCAATGGCGTCGGGATTAACCTGCATCACAGGAACTGATGCTGCACCGCCTGAACGAGGTGCAGTTTCAACTACTCGCCGACGGGAACATTGGAGATGCGGTGTCACAGGCGCGCCGGGAGATTACGGGGCTGAGGGACTACGGTCGTGATACGATAGAGGTGATGAGGGGGTTTGCTACAGCTCTGCTTGGCGGAAGGGAGTGAGACGTGGGACCAAGGTTGGAGGAAAAGGCTTTAGTTGTTTGTAATGCGTGCTCATCGTGTGTTTGTCGTTCAGTAAATTTTTTTTGCGTGTTTCGAAGTGTGCGAAACGAATGGTGTCGGTAGAGTTTGAAGCGAGAGTGCAAATGCGGCTGTCGCCGCGCTACAGTACGAGCGAGATGGAAGGGTTCGACCTGAACAGGTGGCCTTCACGCCACCTGCATAGAGCATCGCCAATGGGACATGGGCAACCTATCATTCGTAAGGCATGTGTGCGGGCAGCGAGCGGGACGCTGTATCGAGGGACGAGGGAGAAAGGAAAGGGTGGAAGAGGGACGGACGTGGGAGAAGAGTGTCTGAAGAGGGTCACGGGCGACTCATTGGCATGTTGGCTTGAATGTTTGAAGGTCATTGCAAGAGCGGATGCGAGATTTCAACGTCACAGGAGTGATGGAAAAACTTGGACAAAGACGAGAAGAACGATAGAACGATACTGGTACAGTTGCATACGGCCGATCATAAGGCCAAAAGCCTCCCAGTGCTCCGTGGGGGAGGTTTCGACGGCTAGGTACAAAAAATCGCTGACGCGTCTCTCATCTTGTCAGACTTCGAATAATTGAACAACTGAACGGGGGTTGCCCTACATTTTGGACAACGCCAAAATAGCTCGGATAGCAAATTATTTGAAAACAACCGTATGGGGGAGGTGGGGGGGCGCAGCAGCCGCGAGGAAGGGCGCGGCTCTACAGCGCTGGGAGGGGCCGGCTGTGGACGCGGAGTCGTGCGGTGTGACGCGCGCGTCTCGACGGCGTGAGCGCGTGCCATAGACTCACGGTGCAGCGGGCGTCACGGGGTGGGGCGCGGCTCTACAGCGCTGGGAGGGGCCGGCTGTGGACGCGGAGTCGTGCGGTGTGACGCGCACGTGTTGACAGCACGAGCGCGAGTCATAGGCTCACGGCGCAGCCGGCGTCACGGGGGGTGGGGCGCGAATTTTGCGTTTTCGTGGGACAGGCGTCGGACACCAGCGACGGCGTCGGTCACCTTTATAATAATATAAAAAACGTCAATAAATGTTGCAGATTTCAATTGTATGTCGCCAATTTTTACAGCATACATCTACTTTACGGCGCGGGGGGGGGAGAGAGGGGGACGCACACCGTCTTTCAGCCCACAACTGCAGCTCTGTACCCCATTCCGCAGTACAGGGGGTGCCCCGTTTTAGCGCACACCAATTTAACGGATGACCCGATTTTGCGCACATAGGTCCGGGGTGCACGAAAAAGTATGATAAATTTCTAAACAGTACCTTTTGGCAACGGGAGGGGTCGGCCAGCTGAGTGGTATTGGATCTTGATCGGAGTCGTTGGAGCGGCGGTTGCCGGTTCCGCCTTTCCAGTCATGTCTATTGTCTTCTCAAGGGTAAGATCGAACGGATAATGATTTGTTCTCGGCGTGCTTTGGGTTATCCTGATTCTCGTCTCGTCTGTTTTTGCGATGTTCCATTGTTCTTGTTGCTAACCGTGTTTATGTCTACTGCATGTGGTTACGTTACACTTCGTATTGTCCAAACTCCAGGTCATTTTTGTCATAATGCGACCGGCAGATAACACTCCAGGGGAGATTCGGAAGTGGTGTCTCTACTTCGTTGCGATTGGGGGTGGTTCTTTCTTCGGCTACTTCTGTCAGTCGTCTGGATTGGGAATTAGTGGAGAGCGACTGACATTGAAACTGAGGCGGAGAAGTTTCAGAGCTATCTTGAGACAGGAAATGGGATTTTTCGATGAGACGAAGAACTCAGTGGGCGCCCTCACAACACGACTTGCCACTGAGGCCTCGCTGGTGAAGGGTGTAACTGGGGATACATTGGGTTTCATGTCGTTCGCTTTGAGCACAATTTTTACTGGGTTTGCTATAGCATATGAAGCGTGCTGGCGCGTAGCCCTCGTGGTCCCGATTATGGCTATTTGTGATGCATTGCAAATGAAACTGATGACAGGTTTTGACGCTGATTCGGAGAAGATGTACGCAGATGTACGCAGAGGCGGGTACTATTGCGTCCGAGGCAGTGAATAACTTTGATACCGTTACATCCGTGGGTGTGCAGGATGTCTTCTTGCGAAAATATAACGCAGCACTTGAGATTCCAATTAGGAATGGGCGCAAGTCAGCAATGGTTGCCGGGATAATGTTCGGTATCTCCGAGTTTCTATCTCAAGCACTCTGGACTGTGAGCTTTTGGATTGGCTCGATCTTTGTCCGCAATGGATTTTGCGATTTTCCCGAGCTTATGACGGCGATCACGGGACTTCTCTTCGCCGGGATGATGCTTGGAAATGCCAGTGGTCAAGCCAGTGATGTGAGCAAGGCGAAAATTGCTGCTACCAAAATCTTCCGCCTTTTGGATCGTGAATCGGGCATTGACCCAAGTAAGAAGACTGGAGAGGTGTCTTCAATTTCCGGTCATCTGGCGGCAGAAGGGTTGCGATTTGAGTATCCGTCGCGTCCGGACGTTCACGTTCTTCGAGGGGCATCCATTGAAGTATCTCAGGGCCAAACGTTAGCATTGGTTGGAGCTAGTGGATGTGGAAAATCTACGACTATTGCCCTTTTGGAGCGATTCTACGATCCTCGCGAAGGGACTATTCGAATTGATGATACTGAAATCCGAGAGTACAACCTGAATCACCTGCGATTCAACTTGGGTCTTGTTTCCCAAGAGCCTGATCTTTTGAATAGGAGTATACGGGACAATATTGCCTACAGGCTGGACCACTCTGATGGGACTCCGGTGACAGATGACACAATCATAGCAGCTGCGAAGGCTGCCAATGCTCACTCATTCATTTCAGAACTGGAAGACGGATATGACACTGTCGTTGGCGCACGGGGGGAAAGACTTTCAGGCGGGCAACGGCAGCGCGTGGCAATCGCTCGAGCGCTTGTGCGAGAGCCCCGAATCCTTCTACTGGACGAAGCAACTTCTGCACTCGATGCGGTGTCGGAGCGAGTTGTACAAGACGCGTTGGACAAGGCAGCAGCAGAACGCACGACGGTGGCCGTCGCGCATCGGTTGTCTACAGTGAAGAACGCCGATGTGATAGCGGTGGTGTCAAAGGGTCGGATTGTGGAAAGCGGAAAACATGAACAGCTGCTGCGCATTCCGAATGGAGAGTATGCGAACCTGGTTAAGAACCAGTTGACTGAAGCGACCGACGAAGACTGAACACCAAGACGCATCAGTTTGCCCTCGTAGCGGGATGCGTAAGCAGTCATCTGGTTTTCCGAACTTTCTGTACGTAGAATATGAGGCATATGTACATGTACTGTACTGTAGAGACTTGCTGAAGTGATCTGAATGGTGAGGATGATGTGGAGCTGTCCCCGCGACAGCCATCCCCAAAAAGAAATTCGCCGCTCGAGGTCATGGGCGTCCGTGGGCTGCGTAATCATTGTGTGATGTCTCAATCTTTAATAACCGCAAGGCCTTCCCTTTTGTCATGCTTCCGTGTGCTGCTCTGAACGTTAGACTTTGTTTGAAGGAAGAAGGCTTGAAATACTGTAGACGGAGCCGGATCGAAAGGGCGGGGGTAGAATCATAGATAAGAGGGGAGGATCCGGCGGCATCTATTTCCCTGCGTGTAGCTGTGAAGGAAAGGCCGCGTATCCGATAGTGAGGGTCTGATTGGGCACGGTGCGGGGTCTCTGAAGAAAATCCTATCCTCTCACTGTGTACCGTACACACTTGCACGTACAGTATCTCACTTATCTTACACGTGGACTTGAGGTCTGGTAGGGAGGGGCACGGAACAAGGAAATGATTCCAAGGTTAGTTTAGAATTGGGGGAGGGCAAAGGCGAGGGCCAGAGCCAGGGCGCAAGACAATGACCATGGATGTTTTCGACATTTTGAAAAGAGAAGCGGTTGTACATTGCCCTCATTTTTTCACTTTGGTAGATGATGCCGACCTGGGACTTTGGTCCAATATCATGAAAGCCTTTACCCCCTGTATTCTAAAAAGGCTCGAAAAGCTATCGGCCTCAGCGACACCAGCTCCGGCTGCGACGGGGAAAAGTAACTATCTAGAGACACCGTGCCACGAAGAAATTGTCGATAGCGACGCTGAAGTGGGCTGAGGCCCTATGGTCTCTTGTACGACACGCTGTACTGCACAGTACTTAAAAAGGTTAAATAATGTGGAAATATTTTCTGCAATAGCACCGTCTGCGCTGGTCGCAACTTCCGCCCCTAAACCAGCTGGCGTTGTTCAGACTCTGAACAACGCGAGATGGTTTGCGTGTTACCTTGTGAAGAGAGAGGAAGGGATCTGCGGCGGCTTAGGTCCTTTCTACCTGGCACTTAGTCATGGTCAGCAGTGATTGGCCCCTTTATTCATATAGAAACACCATCTGTACATGTTTAAAGCGAGGCAGATATACAGTGCGCGATATTATAGAATGGCATTGTTCTACCTGCCGAATTTTCTCCCCTGTCTGCACAACTTTATTGTACTGTACAGAGGAGAAAATGCGCTGGCCGTTCTACCCGGCGAATTTTCTCCTCTGTGTGTACAATTTTATTGTACTGTACAGTGGAGAAAAGCCGCTGGGTGAAACGGCCCTCTCAGGGCGCGACTGTGTGTACAATTTTATTGTACTGTACAGAGGAGAAAATCAGCTGTGTGAAACGGCCCTCTCAGGGCGCGACAAGTTCGAGATTCGTGGGCGAAATCAGGAATGGCCCGCTGGGACCACTCGCCAGACTGAATGTACTGTATTACCCCACGCCTTTCACACTTAAAAGCCGGCGACATAGTGGTGGCCGCCAAACCCAACAGACCCTCATCTATCTGTTTCTAAAAAGGATTCGGGGTAATTTACAGTATGCCAGGTGACTTGATTCGGGTGCATCCGTCGGCAAAAACGCTCCGATCAGGCTCAAAGTCCCTGATGGCCATCCGACACGTACATCTACAAGTTTTATCACAGAGTTTGGAAACATCCAATTGCGTTAATAATGAAACTTCATTTACGCAGTTCGTGCTAAACGGAATCTTTATATTTCCTGACTGGGTTTTCCACATCCGACCGAGAATTGATTTCTTTCTGTGAGT